TTGTATTATGGGGAAATCAGTTTTGCACTTGCCGCAAGAGAGTCCACCCTCTTCTACTTTCTGGGAGGCAGTGCTTTCACATCTTTGTTCTGCTTTCTTTACTCATGAGGACTGGGGCTTTAAAGTGAAATCTGATAGGTGTGCTGGATTTCATTATACTACCTGCCTTTCATGGGATGACTTGTGTGGCTGAAGAGGAGCCACCGCAGACCCAGAGAAGTCAGTGTCAGCTGAGATGGTTCCAAAGATTTAAGAGAGCGCAAATGAAGGCTGTCTTAAACCACCCTTCTAAATTACCCCTTCTAAATCTGCATCATCTCAATGTTATAGGTTGGACTGCATCCATCTCTAGTCTTAAGGTTAAAAGCAGGAGCTGCTGCTGCAGCTTTGGAGTCAGAGCAGTGTCATTGAGAGATAGAAATGATTGTCTTTACCTCATGATCAGCTGTTCCCAAGCAGAAAAAGGGAACCGCAGTTCTCCTGTCTTTCTGTTTGTGTGGAACAGTATCAGCACCACAAATCTGTGATGGTTCTCTGGGATTGCTCTCCTCATGCTGCATCCTATCGGCCATGATGTTAGTGACACTTGGAGCAAGTTGGGAGAGAGGGGTGGGCGTTTAAGAACATGGGTCCTGCATGCTGGTTAGTTCATCTGAATCCATCATTCATGCATTTCTGGGTCATACTAGACAAAATTACAGTGCTCACTAGACAGGGATCAGAATGGTACTGATAGACTAAAATGAATTGGACAGGAAACAACACCTTGCGTGTTCTTTCTTTTGTAGCAGAGTCCTCCACGGAGACTTCAGGAGGTGTGAAAGAGCCCAAGGCTTTGTTGCCCAGAACAGAGGAGTCACCCAAGACCCAGAATTGTCTGAAATATGATGGTGAGTTTGGGGGTGGTTGTGTCAGCATCAGCAAGATCTGCACTTCCCCACTTGCCATTTGGGCCATTATTGTAGGTTGGAAGCCTGTGCTGGTTAAGGGAGTGGCAGATCCAAGACTTGACATTCTGTTTACCCTTATAGGTAACATGGATATTTCATGGTTAATGTGAGACTCTTCCTTCCTCTAGGTCTTAGCACATCGTTACAAGATGCCTTGTTCACAGCTTGTAAGATGGGAGACCTGAAGGCATTACAGCATCTTCTGGGGAGAGATAATAGCACAGCAGATAAAGCAGATGACTGCAAGTGGTATCACCCCGCAGCAATTGCTCAACTCACCCCTGGATGAGAGTGGCTGGACCCTTTTGCATGTGGCGGCAGCAGCTGGAAGGAGTACAGTTGTGCGGCTGCTGTTGGAGATGGGGGCTGACCCATCCCTTAGGTAATGCCCAGCTTGAGAAGACTATATTGATGCCTAGTCCTAAGACTTGGTTCTTGAGTTGCACTTCTGCTCTGAGTCAAACTGCTGACCCCATGAAATTCAAGCTGCTCCTCTTGAGTGTCAGCTGTCCTTGACTCAGTTACACATTAAGTCTGAGCCCAGGTCTTTCAGAAGTATTGAGAATTAGTTGTTCTCAAAGGGCCAGAGCACTTGAGGGCCACTTTGTACAAGTACCTATGCAAGCATAGGAAGCTGGAGGACATTCCACTCTCTGGGACAAATTTCAAATCTGTTCATAGTCTGGGATGGTTTGGGCTTCTCTCTCACTTCCAGTACCCAGTCGTAGAAGCAACAAAAGTGATGTGGCACATGCTGCTTCCATTTCCCAGCAGTGTCATCTTCTACAGTGGTTAGGGTTGCCATATTTCCAAAAATAACAACCAGAGCACCCCAAAAGCCCCCCAAAAAGTGAATTTTTGATTGACTTTCCTAAGATCCAGGACAAAGCGCTGCCTTCTGGAAATTCCCCCCGGACGTCCATTCCCCCTTTGAAATCCCAGTAATGTCTGGGGAAATCTGGACGTATGGCAGCCTAACTGTGGTGTAGGTCACAGATCTGGACCTAAAGTTACATTGTGTTTCCTCCCCAGGGACAGACAGGAACAGCCTCCATACTGTGTTTCTGCCAATAAACAAACTCGTAATGAATTCCGAAGGTTCAGGGGTGAACAGCCTGAGAAATATGATTACGACCGGGCCCAGGTGGGTGGATGCATGTATGTAGAATGCTCTGGATGCATGTATGAAGAATTGGAAAGTGTCTAATGTGGACGCTTACACTTGCGAATAAATAGAAGGCAAGTGCAAGTTGATAATCCTGGGCCAAGCCAGCTGCCCACAGAAGACTCCTTATCTGTTCTTGTATGTTGCTGACCTTGGACAGTTTTTGAGTTGCACAGCTTGCAGTTTAAGAAGGGAAGGCTTGATAAGAAGAATTCCAGAGTCCTTTTTGTCTTCCTTCCACTAATTCCCACGTAACTTAACTATTTGGGGTGGGGGGCTCTTTTAGACCCTGCCACCCGTACCCATCCTTTGCATATCTCTCTGGAATCTCACACTCAATGCAAAAGGCATCCTGGATTTCTCTTAATCAAATGCTCGCTCAAGCAGGCATTAATTTAAGTGGAAGATACCTTTGGGTATGTGTATGAAGGATTTTTGTGTGTGTTTGTTTAAATCTCCCAGCTCTAAATATGCTATTGGAGTGAGCAGAGATGGGAAGGAAATGAATTTTGATGGTGTCTAGGGATTTTGCATCCAGAGATGTAGTAGGGCAGCAACATACACAGAACAAAGGGAGACTCGAGCCCCTTTCAGGATCTCTCCTGGCTACTTGCTGCCGGGCCCGGACCCTTTTCTGCTGGATCCACATCTACTGTGTAACTGCAGGTGCCTGGACCCCTGACGGCAGAAATGGAAGCCAGACAGGCAGAACGCCGCCAAGCACAAAAGGCCCAGCGGAAGCAGCGTGAGAAAGAGAAACGAGAGGCACAGCAGCTGCTTGAGCAAGAAGAGGATGAGAAACGGTGCTTTGCCCTGCTGAGTGATCGTGAGAAGGTGAGAGCCTAAGACTCAGGTGACTAAAAGGAAGAAAAGGCGACTTAACAGATGATGGCATCACTTCTGGTGCTACAAGTTTCCTGATATGATACATGGCATCATCTGCTGTGCTGATCACAAAGAGCTCACTTGACCAATGTTGTCTGAGAGAAGCTGTGGTTTCATGTAAAGAAAAGATTTTGCTGTTTCCTTTCCTTATCCTGACAGTTGGTTATATTGGGTCATCCCTGTTGGTGTGGATATCCTTCTAGTTCTAGCATCTCCTGAGAAAGACACTTGATAAGACTTATTATACTGTTTTTCCTGAACCAGGCAACATCGGCCACTTTGGAGTGTTTTTGTTGCCATTTCTGAACCCATCTGTGCAAGACAAGCAGAATGGGTTTTTTGTTTTAGAATGTAATGAGGATCTTGAAGATCTACTTAATGTTGTCATGCTGGGATATGTCCTGAATCTAGGTAGGCATCTCTGTCTTTTCCATGGACATGACCTATATTTAAGAAAGGCCTCCTGAGATAGAGAATAACTCACAGATCTGTCCTACTTCCTGAGTCTTTGCTATACAGCCAAAGTTACCTTGAGAAAGGAATTTGGAACCTGCTGCTCTGAACCAGTCTGTTCCTGCTCTGTAAACCGTGTGTGTTATTCTGATGGACTTAAATATCATAGGGCATTTCTGCTGCATTTTACTAAAATACTTACGCCCTCCTGTTAGGAAGATCTCTGGTGAAATCTGTTTAGTTTTTAGTTTCCACAAGCTCCCTTGAACAAAGGAACATGGCTAACTCTGGACTTGGTATGTGACATACAAGCAGATTGCTTTTATAGTTTGACCCAGCTCTGGAACATCCTTGCACATCCTCCTAAGTGAACTGCTTGTTTTACATAGGATTTTGTACAATGGGATGAAGACACTTCTCCCTATAGACCCTGGGGGACAGTTCTTTGATGTTATTCCTAATAGTATGTGTGTATTGCTTCTTAGCGTGCATTGGCAGCTGAGAGACGACTTGCTTCCCAACTAAAAGACTCCAGTGCAACTCTTACCAATACCAGGTAAGGTGGGTGAGTGGTGTGTTCCTTTTTGGCATTACCTCCAACTACAATGATCCCAAGCTCATGCTGTCTCTTTGGTATCTATAGGCGCTGTTGGCTATGTGGAGAGTCGCTACTGGGCCGCATTCCCTTCCATTACCTTGACTTCTCCTTCTGCTCCACAAACTGTCTGCGAACTCATCGACAAGCAAATGCTGCCCTGTCCTAGCTAGGGTTTTTCAAATTTGGGCCTTAATGATCTACTTCCTAGAATCTGAATGGAAATAAAAAATCTAGTCTATGACTGCTGTCACTTAGATGAGGAAGTGCAGCAAAAACATATTCGCTGCTTCTGTGTACTCCAGAGGAGGCTAACCTGGGCAGCTGGTACCTTACTGGCTGAGAAATGACACCTCTAAAAGGTCTTTTTCTTCCATTTTACACTAGAAGCAGGATTTTATGTATGGGAAATGGGGTTGGAGGAGGCATTGGAAGACTGCTTTCCATGAGGAAAGGAGTACAGGTTCCTTTTAGAGACTGGAGAGAAGAGGGTGAGACACTGGTTTCTTTGCTAGCTCCAACTATACCAATGTTAACAGAATCCTCATGAGAAATTTTTTCCAGGAAAAGAACTATTTGATCAGTTATTTCCTCAAATAAAATAATAGCTACAGTAACATGGACCAGCTGCTATCTCTAGCCCTGACTATGTCTCTAAAAGTTACTGCAAAACAAGTTATAGAAGAAGGCTTGTGAGTCAAGATACAACAAATGTCCTTTTTAAGGTGGTGCAGAGAATTTCTCCCTTCTAATGTTGCATAGAGGTTGGGGGTATTGTGCCATGTCATCAATCTCTGCCACCCCTTGGATGGCCACCACCACTATTTTCATTGCATTGTTTGGGCAGCTTCCAACTGGAGCCATTCTTATTTGCCTTTCTCCATACCTTTCTCTTCCCCTGCCCCAGCCTGTCAAAGTATTGTGAATGAATAAACTACAATGCAGAACTGTGGTAGGTGTATGAATATTTAATCCAAGGTCCAGTACCTAAAACACCATATTAAGGCACCAAGAGTCTGTCCATGGTAATGTGCCCTATACAGCAGCAGCTGTGAAGGATACTCCGCTGAACGATTTTTTATACTTACAATCTGTTTCTAGTTTTGTTTTTTTGCCTGGGCTACTCTTTAAAAGCACAGGACCTTCATCTGACAGTGCCCTCTATTCATTTGCCTCCTACATTGTGATGGTTTCAGTCTTCCCCTTGGAGTAACACGTGCAGATCTCAGCAACTTTGTAGCTGGACAGTAATTCTTCTCACTTCCTGTCTTTGTGGGTGTAGTTGTAGGTAACATTGAGAAGGGGGCGGGAAACAAAAAGCACTTTGGGATTATCTGGGGCTTCCTGCAGTTCAAGAACGACGAGAGTGTTGATGGCTGAGCCACTGAGGAATGAGCCAGGCACATAGAGAGTTTGCTGCGGTCCACGGACTGGCCAGAACCGGCCCAGATTGAAACCATTGATCCAGACCTGACCCTGGGTGAAAACGTGAGAGGGGCTTTTTATAAACCAATGCATTTTTTGGAGCACCCTGAAACACTACTCTTCTTGGTTCCAACAGCCACTTTTATCTACTGTTATTTATGCCTAGATCTTTTGAAACAAACACAGCTTGATGGGTGCAGTGGGAAACATGTTTCCTTCAAAACACGTTGCACTGATTTTAAGCACAATTTCTTAGGGAGTAGGTGGGCATAGACTGACTTTATTTCCATGGTCTTAACATTTAATATACCATTAGTTTGATACTATTACACTTTCTCCAGCCACTGTTTTAAGATTATCAATGTGTAAGAGTGGCAACTAGCTGTTTGGGTGGCAGGAGCCCATTTTCCTATAACTAGACACAGCAGAAAAGCTGAGGGAAAGAACATAGCTGTCTCAATGAAGGTTGGTCTACTCATTATGATGCCATAGGAGGAAGGGTGGGTATTAGTGTTAGAAACAGAGATGAAAGCTAGGAGCTAAATGGCACCTTAAACTTAGGTTATGGGCGCAACAACGGAATGTCTAGGCACCCTTTTTTATAACAAGAATACAAAGCTGAAAATGAATGAGCTGCAGCTAAAATATGTTCATTTTTTAACATGGTCTACTCCTTCCCAGCCCCCTGCCCCCCGCCCCCAATATTCTTAAGAGGGTCTCTTCGCCAGTCTTCAGAGAATAGCTGGAAGTGGGGAGGCAGAAAATGGTCCCCCTTTCCTTCCACTCTGCAGTTCTAATCTGAAATTTTAGGTGCAGTACTACGCCCAGAGCGCAGAAACTGCTTGCGCTAATGAAATTCCCTGTCACAAAAGGAACAATGGGAGTTTTGAATACTGGCAGGTATCAGTTTAATAATTGAATAAATTGGAGTTAATCTGAGGGTTGCAGTACCTTGGTCCAACCTGGGAGCTTCAAGTAGGAGTCTTCGCTGATGCCCGGTGTTGTGAATGTTCCTGTATAGAAAGCAGGTCCTCTGTGCCCACTGCTTGACTGGGCAGTTGGCGGCCATGCATGGGCTACAGCTGTGTCTATGTCTAGGGGGTAGATGATCCAGTCACTGAGTATGGAGGTACCCAGTGTGATATTGTGGATCAGACCCTGGGCACAAAGATAAGTTAGAGGCAGGTTAGGTGCAGTCGAGAATAAGGTTAGAAAAGCACCCACAAGAGGAAATGGTGGAGTAGATAGCTGGCAAATAACCAGCACAGCAGTGCACCCCAACACCCCTGAGTGTTCATTCTTAGATCTATTTTGCCATTCACATTATTGACTTAAGTCACATCAGATCTTGCAGCAGCTAAAAAGTGGGACTGCCCCACTTCAGCTCTACTGTAGCCCATTTCCTAAGGCAGCACAATACAACATTCCAAAACACAGAGAAGGCCCTCACTTATTTCATTAGACTCTAGTCCAGTGGTTCCCCACAGATCACTTGAAAATTGCCGAGTGCCTTGGTGGACCACTTAATGACTTTTCTTCCTGTGGTTGCCATAGTAATGTGCTGATTATGATTGTACAGTATTACAGTTTGAATTCCATAGTTATTCCCGTATGCGTATGAGACAGCAGCCTTTAAGTCCATGCCAACCATGCATGCCTCCAATGGACAATAGTGGAAGTGTTATCCTTCAGCCAACTATTCTGGCAGTAGTAGCCCCAGGCTCCCTTTTCAAATGCACCTTAAAGTCACTGTCATTGGCCCCAAAGTTGATGCGACCCATGCTCTCCACCACCAAGTCCAATGTGTCCCCAAGCTGGCCCGATATATTGATCCCATTCACTCTGTCTCTTTCCAGTGTCCCCTGGTACTCCTGAAGCAGGAAAGAAATAAGGTTAGCTGGTGCTCCAAGACAGAGCTGAAGCAAAGCTCCTGTGTGCTCCAGGCTCTGACCCACCCTATGAAAATGCAGTGAACCAGAGTGTGGGCCTAGGACTTGTTATACCCTTCCGTTTACCTAAGTAATAATCTTTCCTACCCACTAGGAAGGTCCCCACTCTCCACCTTACTCCATTGAGCAGAACGTAGGCAAGATCATGGACCCCATTCCCAGAGGCACTGAGCAAGGCAGACTCCACGATTTCCTGTGGTAGAAGGGTCCGGTAGAGCATGAAGCCATGGGCCTGGAATGCAGAACAGAATCCGCAAGAGGTGTCAACTGCAATCCCACTGGGGACTCTTAAGCAGAAATAGCCATGGGCCTTTGCTGACCCAGACTCTTAATCTACTTTCTTACCTGCTTCAGAGCTTCAAAGGTAATAGGATAGGAGGAATAGAACGGCAAGGAAGGCGAGAGAATGGCAAGAACATCCAGCAAGGCCACACGCTACAGAAAAGATGATGGGTTCATTTATTGCCTTTAAATTGTTAAATTATTCAAGTATGCTTCCCCCAACCCACCCAAATGGCTATTGTTAATTTTCTTATCACCCCAAAGCTAAGGATACAGCAACACTAAAAACAGGAGAAAAAAATAAGGATTGTAGACTCAATCATAAAATGCTTTCAGAAATAAAAACCACTTTAAGCACAATCTAAAAATGAGTCTGTTGTGCCACCACCAAGAAGGCCCTGTACCTATCTTTACATGTGCAGTCTCTCATATACAATCATCACAGAGGCTCCTCTGCTTTCCACCAGCTCCCATTTCACTTCCTTCAGACTTCTACCCAGTTTGCTTTTCTGCCTTACCAACTTGCACCTCAGCTGAAACACACTGAATGTTCAGGAAGGTGCCCACAAGAGAGCAAAGTCACTCCACCATCCAACCAAAGACATGCACTTGTAAGGGAATGGCTTCCAGCTCTCACTCACCTGGGGTACGGATACATAGCCATATGCAAACTTCGGGGTAGGGGGTGGCATTGGTCCTGCGGGCAGCTCCTGAAACTGAAGTTTCAAAAAAGAAAACACCATGTCAAGGGAGTTGGGCTGGTAGTTGGGGAAGCAAGCCAGCTCAAAACATTTTGCTGTCAGAAGCAGTACACCAGCAGACCAATCGCTCAGGCTAACTCATTTCACCAGTATCTTGTGAGGATAAAGGGGGTAGGAGAACCTTGCAAAGCTACCCAGAGCTTAGAGAAAGGGTAGGATAAAATAATAAACAATGAAAACTAAAAGCACCTTGTATTTCTGTGCCTGTGTTAAAGTACATCATCTACAACTTCCAAACCATGTATGGCATGGATGCAACAGGGAACAAGCCCCACTGAGTAGGACTTCCTTTTGTGTAAAGATGCTATACTGTTAGAACCTCTTACATGCACATGTGCGCGCACACACACACACACACACACACAGTCTCTCAAACACTTGTTCTCTCTTCCTCCTCAAATCTGCTGCTTGGCTGGTGGCTGCTTATTTTATTTATTGCATTGATTCATCACTTTCTACAAAAATGTCTCAAAACAATATACAAAATATTTCAAAATACCAAACAACTTGTCAACCATTTAAAAACACAGAATAAATATGCATAAAAATGTATTAAGATATTTTTCCAAAAGCAATAATAAAAAGGATTCCACCTCATTAAAAGATTAGCACCAAAAATAGGTCATAAATCATACCCATAGAACTATATATGTTAAGAACCAAAAACCTGGGCAATCAAAAATGTCTTCAGTAACTGCATTCCACCCACTGATAGAAGAGGGCTGTATTGTTACCTTGCTAATGACTGAGCGGATGATATACAGCTTGTCAGTAGGGTCTCCAGCCTCTGAGAGTGGTGCATCATAGTCATAGCTAGTAGTTATGGGTTTGTAACCATCCTTGTAATCAGCACCTGGATAGAGAAGGTGTGAGAAGAAAGCACCTCTTATGTGCCCCCCAACACCTCCATCATCACCACCAGAAGCTAAGTCTCCCTAGTTGCCCTAAGGAGCCAGAAACTCACCACTCCAGTAACCAAAGTTGGTGCCACCTTGGAACATATACCTGGAAGAAAGTCAGATATCACGGGAAGAGTTACCCTCCTATTTAAATAAAGGGGCAATGACAGGCAGTGGAATAGGAAACAAATAGATGTGAACTAATGTGGTGCAGCAGTTGGGGAATGCTTTGGAATAGAAGTGTGCTAGTCTTTGGCCTAGGGCACTGTCCAAGACCATGCACCTTATTCTTGTTCTGCGAGGGATTTTTTGTCCGCTAGGGAAATGACCAAAAAGACGTGAAAATGTGGTGCGCACACACCTCTAAGGCAAAATGAGAGGTTCACAGTTAACAAAATGAAGCAAGGAGCTGCGCATTGGCATCTTGGTGCTAGCTCTTGTTTCTTTGTACTATCCCTTGTGCCCCACTGCCCACTCTCCCCTATGGCCTCACGGTTACATGTTGACGTTGGCTCCCATTTCTAGAATCTTCTGTAAGCTGTTAGCCACTTTCTTAGCACTTTTTGTGGAGTGTGCCTCACCCCAGTAATCCAGCCAGCCAGTGTAGTACTCAGAATTCACCTAGGAGGAAGGCAGAATTAAAACATTTATGGAGCAGTAGCAGTCAGGTCAATACCATCACTTCTGCCAAAGTACTGGGAATAGGAAATACCAAGTTTGCTCCCTCCTCTGTGTTGGAATCTCATTGTACCAGACCTCACACCTATAATGCCCAGGACAGGCTATGTGGTGTGACTGTAGCTTGCACTGCAACACTGGGCAATATGCAACTTCCAACCAATTTTTGTGTGATAAGGTCCACAGCAATGGGATTATGGCTCTGGAATAATTTGCTTTCATGCAAAGAAGACAGCTCATAGCCTATCAAGAGGCTCCTGAAAGCACTGGACTACAAGCTCTTTGGTCTCATAGCTCAGTAACTGCTGGGGCAAGTGAGGATTTCACATGCATGACTCTCTGGCTGCCTTGGAAACTGCTACAGAAGGATCATGGCAGTCAAGTATAAAGGGTGGAAATCAAACAGAAGATGGCTCAGTTAAGATGCAGCCAGATTATTTTTGGAGATGGGTGCCAAGGAAGGAGTAAGCATAATTTGAGGCATGAGATGCCATTCTTCTACATGGAAAGGCCAGACCCTCTCACCAGTGGTCCCTTTGGCTCATACAGTCGCTGCAGCATAAATGCCTCCGTCACGTTTTCTTCTGTCAAAGGGCAAAGAAAGGAGCAGAAGTCAAAGCAAGATTCCTTCCTACCTCCTTCCAATCTCATCAGAGCTCACCCAACATCACTCTACCTGGTCCAAAGTCCACCGTGGCATATAAGCCCTGCAGTGTCCCACACTTGAGTTCAGATGCTGAGGTGCCATCTGTGGTGAAGAGCACAACTTCCTCACCCAGGGAGGCACGAAAGACACCCAGTAGGTGGCGCATGTAGTTATAGTCGCAGGCATAGTAGCTCCCATATTCATTCTCCACCTGCCTGGGGAACAGCTGGCATTAAAGAAAGGTGACTCAGAGCCCACACCCTGCCTAAAGAAAAAGGTGTGTGGGAAGTCTTTGTATAGAGCCTCTCTTGTCAAGCACTAGATCTGCAGGATGATGCCCAACCCAATTTGCACGGGAGGCTGGTCACCCAAATAGGTGCACCTCCGCTCTTTGTAAAGGAGGAAAAAATACCGTTCTTGAAAGTTCCAAGGGTGCCTGAAGGGCTTTATTGTTTACAAGTCCCTCCTACTGGACAGGGGGAGGCAGGCACAAAGCAGTGGTTTAAGGCAGGGGTGAGCAGTCTTCTGTCTTTGTTTTTAACTGAAATATTGAGATCCACCAAGTAGAGCCTGGTGTAAAAGCTATATACTTGTACTCCGATAGTAAGTTACTTAGGGCTCAGTAAGGTACATGTTTCACATCAGGGAACCTCTGAAGGTGCAACCAGAGGCCCAGGGACACACAATGCGCCTATGCTGCACGCACCTGGACACTGATGATGTTGCCTCCATTGTGGTAGAGATGAGGCTTGATCTTGGGCAGCAGGACTCCCAACCATCTGTCCACAGCTTGCAGGTAATCTAGGAGCATGAATCAGCTTGCTCAGCCAACAACTGGGGCTCCTTTTCCCTATTTCCAACACCTTGCTAAGACAGGAATTGGTAATTGTGGTACTGTGTACAGAGAAAAGGTCTGAAAGTGCCCTTTGGCCATTATATACCACTCACATGGGCTGCTTTAATTCTGTGGAAGAGACATGGAAGTTGGAAGGCCCAGATGACTGGCCCTCTAACAGCTTGATATGAGGCAGCCAGAACCACACAAAGACACCAGCCATTTAGGACTTACAACCCTCCAGATCTTGTGGATTATAATTCCGATCATTCCTGAACAATGATGGCTGGGGTGGATGGGAAATGGAATCCAAAAGCATCTGGAGAGCCACAGGTTCCCCACCCCTGATCTTTTTGCATTCTGAGGTTTTCTACAGTCAAGCGGTATATAAATTTTAATGAAATAAATAAATCTACAGAATTGAACATGAGATTGAGAGGGTCTGCCCCCTCCCTCTAGTTCTATCTTACCTGAGTCAGTTGTGCGCAGGGCAATATCTGGCTTTGTCAACAGCCAGGATGGAAGGCCACCCTAGGAAAGAAGGTCAAGAGGTAAACAGTTCAAATAATGTCAGGGTCTATAAGTTGCTCCTCTCCTGCTCCAAATCAATAAGAAATGGTGGAAAGGTCAGAAGGCAAGAATCCAGGGTGGAAAAAGTAGGTTTCAGATTTGTTATCATAAAAAAGTTGCTGAAGCCATGAGAGCAAAAAAATGTGTAGAGATCAAGAACTGGGAAAGATAATGTAGAGAAAAAGTAGAAGATTAAAAATCTATAAAGGTAAGACAAAGCTGAAAACTCAGAGAGATAAGGCAAGGTAAGGAGTTAAAGAGGATAAAATGATCAATGACTAGCAACCCTGTGTATGAGAGAGGTGAATTGTGCAGCATTCAGGTACTGCAAGTGAGTCTTAGCCCATCTGAATCTTTTGCCCAGCACTCACCATCTCCCATTCAGCACAGATGTAGGGTCCGGGTCGCAAGATCACCAAAAGGTCTAACTCGGCTACCAAGTTCAGAAATTTTTCCAAGTCTCTGTCACCAGAAAAGTTGTAGACACCAGGCTGTGGCTCATGGTAGTTCCAGGGCACATAGCTGAAGGGTGAAAATACATATTTCAGTTTGAAATAAGAAGGTGAGACAAGGAGGATACACCCCAGGAGATGCTTGAGGATTAACAGGGCAAGAATTTGTTACTCTTTTTATATTGTAATTTTATGTTGTGAATTGCTCTGAGATATACAAACGAAGGCTGGTATACAAATTAAATACATTACACACACACACACACACACACAGTGGCGGAGCTTCATGCTCTGGCACCGAGGGACAGAGAGCAGGCGGGGGCGGGGCTGGAGCGCATCCTGGGGGCGTGGCATGCCACCTCCGGGGGCGTGGCACCCAGCGGAGGCAGGGGAGCAGCCATGATGGCACCCCACCGGGATCGCGTTGCCGGGGGAAGTGCACTCCCCCCACAATCCTCTTTCTCCGGCCAGTGCACACACTTATGGCCTAGGCTGACCAGATCCAAAAAAGGACACAGCTATTGAACCTTTAATAGTTGTGCAGAAGAGGGAATTTCAGTAGGTATAGTTTGCATAATAAGCTATCCCCACTGACATTTCCTCTGTGATGTAATTATTAAAGGTGCCACAAATACTACCCATCTTCCTTCTTTGCAGTTCATCTACAACTGGTTCTCAGTCTAGTATGGCCAAACATTTAAATATAACGAGGAGAAGAGGGGGCATGAACAGAAATATTTCTCCCTTAGCTTTCAGGTTGGGATGAAAGTGGAGGTGATTCCATTTTAAAAGAAAGCTGTACTGGAACAGGCTCATGTATCATGTCATCTTGGCTGCACGTTTTCAATGCAAGGAACCTTCAGTACTTGGGCCAGCTCCACCTTCAGACAGCATAAGCTTCTCTGCTCTAAATGTTGGCCAGAGTCTGCAGTGAGGACTGTACAGTGAGAAAAATGGAGCACCTGTGCACAGTCATTAGCCTCTGTCCTTCACTGTGGCACAGAATAAGTCCCAAAAGCCACACTTCCCCTTCTGGTCACTTACATTTGCACAGCATTGAGGCCACTCATGTACATCTTGAGGAGCCGATCTTTCCAATAGGCAGGTGGGACCCGGAAGTAATGGATGCTGCCTGAGATATAGCGAAATCTAGCACCATCTTTGAGGAAGCAGTTATTCACATAATCAATGCGGAAGGAACGGTCTGTTGAGGAGGCCTGGCATTCAGGACAGGAGGGGAAAGAGAGTATTATTATTTTTTGTATAAAATTGAAACTTCATCCCATCTCCTGCTGGGAGGATCAAATAGAGAATGCCATCCTCTTCCCCTCTGCCATAGCAAGAGATATTTACGTCATCTCCCTGGCTATGGAACCTGGCTAGTAAGCTTGACACGGACTGTTTTGTGGGTAAGTCTGCAATGTGATTGCTTTGAAAAGAATCCTTCTAGATTTATGAGACATTATCCCTCTCCAGCTCCTGGAAGATCAGTTCTAAGATCCCAGTCAAGATTTGCACCTGAGGTTCAAGTCTGACCCACTCCCTCCAGGACTCCAACTCTCTCTCTCTCTCTCTCTCTCTCTCTCTCTCTCTCATCACTGGTTCACATGTGGCCCATTTACTAAATCATAATTTGAAGCCACTCAAATCTCTGCTTCCAATGCTATGCTTTACCCTCTGCAAATATTCACACACACACAAAAAGTTTTTGTCATTTGGTTTGCCTTACCTTGTCCTGCCCCTGAAATTGTTTCCACTAGTACAGACTGCTCATCATTACTGGCCAATTCACCGAGAATCTGACAGTTGGGAATGTAGCCAGTTTCTCACTCCCTTGCGGCCATTTTCTTGGCTGAATGGGATTTTTTTTAAAGCAGCATGGCTTGATTACGAATTGGGGAACTCCCAATATGAACCCATTCCTATACAACAGGCAAAATAATAGATGGGGGAAAGGAACCAAGAAGAGGTAAGGAAAAGCTTGAGCTCAGTTTGACTGGGGGGAGAGCAAGTGGGGAATCTAAAGCAACAGAAAAGGAAATCCTTAAAATTCCCCTAGGCAGTCTAAGATGATTCCTTCTCAGCTGTTTCTTCCAAAGAAACACCCTCCTGCAGTTCTCCTTCTTGTTGCTTACCTGGAGTTGCAGGCCTCCCAACACCACCATCAAAACACTCAGCAGCAGCTCCATCTCTTTGGTTACAGCTTCAGCCCGGGACAAGAGAGTCACAAGGAGTCATCACATGACAAGCTAGTGGGCAGGCCTGGTGCTTCCTCCGGTTGGCCCCTGCGAGGAGGGAAGTAAGTAAAGACAGGCCTTATTTGAACAGAGAGGCGGAAAAGAGGAGGCAATGTTCCAGCAACTATATACAGAGTCGGTGACTATAAATCAGAGGAGGAAATTATGAGGCACAAAACTCCCTCCAAATCCTGGGGAGAGAATTATGAAGCAGCACAGAGGAACTGGAACACAGAGTTGGTTTCCCGTACTCAAATTTACAGAAGTATGAGAAACATAAACTTCTTCAAATCATCAGAAACGGTAGTTTGTGCTGCTCAAAGTTATATAGTGGATAGAAGCAGAGAGACAGCAGAGTTGGCACTGCACTGCACAGCTGTCTACCACTGGATCAAAAGCCTCAATCTTGTTGTTTTGGTAATGGCACAAAGGATGAAGGTTTCTACGGCTCTGTACACACCATGCATTGAAAGTATGTTACTTTTCCCAAAGAATCTTGAGAACTGTAGTTTGTTAAGGGTGCTGGGAATTGTAGCTACACAAGGGACAAACTACAGTTCCCATAATTCTTTGGGGAAAGTCAGATGCTTTTAATATATGGTATGTATGCAGCCTCAGGGAACTTTAATTCTCCTTTATACATATAGACAAAATGTGGACATTTTTTGTAAGTTAAATTAAGTATCCAAATGAGCTACACGAAATGCAGTGATTAGTCAAGGACCTGACATGCCTATCTAGTCTACAATAGCAAAAGAATAAGTGAGAACATCTAGTCTGACCTCCCTCAGATAATTTAAGGAATGTTGTAATCTATGGTAATACTGGGGGGCTATTACATTACAAATAACCAAATAATCTGTTTGGTCTGAAGGCTATGAGTAATGGAAAATTTACATTCTTCCCTCCCACCAGCAGCTTGTTGCAATGCTTAATCTGCACAGTCTGCTAAATCCTGGGATCTGTCTTCTAATATGGATGTATCCGGTTTTAACTTCCAGCTGTTCAATTAAATTGCACTTTGACATTTAATCCACTATCATTAATCAGTGCTTATTTTTCTTTCTGAGAGAAGCTGCAAGATGGTGCTCCATTAGTCTCCTTTACTTTTTGGTTTGTTTGTTATAATCATTGCTTCCTTGGTGCCTTCCTGCTCCCACATTTAATACTGTTGCACACCACCCTAGTTTCTGAGCAGTGCAAGATTCTAGGGGTTCTAGGGGTTCATCTACCCTGGGTTTGTGTTTCCTTTGGGAATGAGGCACAGTGGAGACTGCAGTGTCTTTAGGATATATGGTTTATCTACACATATATACAACCTGAGCCTACAATGGAAGGGTTCACAGCATTAACACCCCTAGAAGGCCTTGCTTGTCTCATAGCCACAGCCTTAGATTCCAGCAGAAATCAAGCCTGGCGCTCTCTCGCTCTCTCTGGCTTTCCAACCCACTGTTTTTGGCTCCAGCTTCTAGTTCACATAACTCAACCCTCAACTCTGTCCTTTTGTCTTTCCAACCAGGGAAGGAAGGCCCACCCATTTGCCCTCTGGCACAGAGCCACTCCCTTTGCTCCCTGAAGGACTCTTACTTAGAAGGCCATTACCAGGCTGGCCTGGCTATTTCAGCAACTGAATCCATGCATACAGCCTACCCACTTCCAAACTCATAACGAAACTAAAACAGATTGCAATTTCTCCTAACTACAATTAATGTTAGAGTACCCCACTGGCATAAATTGATCCCTTTCTATAGGAATGAGATGCTCAGCCATATAGTATCTTATAATACAAAGTCAGACCACTGGTCATGCAGTCCAGAAATTGTTTACTCTATAGCATCTTTATAGTCTTGGAAAGACAGTAGTCTTTCTCAGCCCTGCTTCTTGAAACCCATTTAAGTGAAGTCACAAGGAACTAAACCTGGGAGATTCTGTGGGCAAAGCTAGCTCTGTCAGTGAACTCCCCAAAACAGAATCCTAAGAGAAACTCAAGTAACCGATGATAAAATTATAGAGGTCAAGAGGACTGAAAAGCCTGCCAGTCTGCACCTTGCCCAGTGTAAAACTATTCAACCACCAACCCCTCACAGTTCCAGACTATAATTTGCCAAGAAAAAGGGAGCAAGTGCACTGCAGAAAGGTGCATGGAGGGATAACAGTTTGAAAAGACTTACACAAATGGGTTGAGCTACACACTACAAGGGAAATCCCAAATCTCCTAGGGTCCTTACCAACCTGACTGGCGTGAGGGGGATTCTTGCCCAGTCCCAAATACGGGCACAAACAAAACCTTGTCTACTAACTGAATGCTTTTCTGTTCTATCCAACACATCACATATTTAGGCAGCAGGCAATGCAGTTAAGGAATGCTGTCAATGGGTTTGACTCCTTATCACTTGACTGTGGTTAATTTTGGGTTTGTGGCATGTTTGTGGTTTAAAAGCTGTGTTTAAATTTGGCATGATGTACAATACTTATTAACATAGTAGAGCATGAATATCAGAGTCCAGTGAATGCATCAAAAGCACAGTCCCAGAATTAAACCTGAAGAAAACATACAAGAGTAAGTGTCATCTATGATTTAATATTATTTTGGATATATTCTACTGAAAAATAAGGATAGTATTACCTGTTTGTTACACTACTCTATGAACAACTGTGGTGCATTTTATATGATTAATATTATAGATTTGTTTTGTGTATGACATTTTAATATGTATTTTAAATAGAATACATCCAACTTACAAGAACTCACCTGTCATCTAAAGAACCTTTTACTTACTGGGCCTTTGCATTACTGTGTCCAGTCAGCAGCAGGAGACATTTGTATACCCGCAGGATGATGCATATCTTTGCCACACCAGAGCTATATCACCTTTGATGTCACCACATTCTGTGCCACCTCACAAAGGGATAGGATGTTCTAGGAATATGGGTCTCATCAAGAGTCACAGACTGGTACAAGTTATGAGAAACACATCAGGTTCCAGAAATACCACCTTAGTTTTATTCTAAGCCAGAGGGATTACTTGGACATTATATGGAGTGCCCCCCTTCTCATATTCATATTTGAGAACTGAGGAAATGAAATTATTTTTATCATTATCATCATCATCCATAGTGGCAGTAAAATTAATTCTCCATATATTGTGGGTGGCTGGTGTAGTGAACTTGGTGGAAGAAAATATGCATTCAAATCCAAACTGTTATGGTACCGGGAAATTGAAAGGGGGGTGAGAGATCTTTTCCACCACCACCACAAGCCTTGCCTCTCCATACTAGGAGCCAAAGACAAAGAGCCTCTGCTACCAAATGTAGCAATTCACTGATAAATGTATCTATGTATTAGGTCAATGGAAAACTTTAGAAATTCATATAAAATCACTGCAATGACAGATTTACACCATTCCAACATTGTTCTACTCAGAAGGAAAATGGCTAGCAGGGGAGGAACTTCGGAAATGGGTAGGGGCAGCCATAATCCCTGAAGGGTGAGACCCCCTACTCAGTGTGTCCCACTGCTTGGGTGATAATCTCTAGCATCCTGGCACCTGAGTACCAGAACAGGTAGTCATTCTAAGAACAATCCCAAACCCAACCTTAGTGGATTGGGGTCTTGGTCAAGACAAAGGGTGTGCTTAACTTGTCTGGGAAAACAGGAAAATGTAAATACTTACCTTTGTTTCGCCTAAAGATTGGAAGGTGGGGGTCATGTGAGGACAGGGTAAGCCTGGTGCTCAGGCTTCTGCCAGAAGACCCCTCCCAATTTATGACACAGTCATGACAAATGTATGATGTTTTACTAAGGGTGTTATGGGTAAGTTGGGAAACTTCTAAAAACAGGGAGCCACCTTTGTTTGGGACTTCTCTCTGCTTCTTCCATGTGGCAGTCTTGTTGCAACAATAAAGATCAGGCCTACTGGCTGCTGCTTTCCTTCGATCTCCTGGCTAAGGTCTCTTGCTTGTGACCCCCAACCTGAATCTATGGGAGCCAAAGTTAGGCAATTGTGGGGTGCTCCAATGACTCCCTTATACTCAAACACCAAGTTAGCTGAACAATCTTGGGCTAGCCACCACCGGCCTACCCTACCTCACAGGGTTGTTGAGCATAAAGAGGGGCGGCGGCATATAGAGCTCTTTAGAGGAGTACTAGGTTAAAAACATAAAAAAATAAAATGTTGAAGCCTTACATAGGATTCAGAAGGGGAGGGGTTAAAGAAACAAGAGGCATGCAAATTTTTATGAAAAAAGGAATAACAAATCTTCACAGCAACCCTGTGAGGTAAACCAGTGTTTATGACGGTGTGCATTTACTTGGGAATAAGCCTCACTAAATTCAACACATTTACTCCTCAGTAAACACGCATGGGGGTCCAGAATCCACTAACCACGTCCAACCACAACACTCTGTCCCCTAAACTGGGACATTCTGCTCTTGTAGCTCTTTTTTTTCTCCCCCTCCCCCCATTCCCTATTCAGTTTCCTCCCTTCCACGCTCCCTGCCCTCCGCTCCCGCAGCTCCTGCTCCGCCCCCTTGAACGGTTGCTAGGCTACCTTCTGCGGGCGGCAGTGCGGATGGCGCGGAATAATGACGTCGAGAGGCGGAGTGCGCGGCTTCTGTCGCGCTCAAGCTCCCTCGGAAGCGTCCGCGCGCCGGACAGAGACGGGTGAGTCCTTAGCCCACTCCCCTCCGCCCCCCCCGGCCCCGCCCCATCTCCGCAGGTAGGCGGGGCCTTAGGAAAAGTGACAGGGTCGTGGGCTTCCACTATTCCTGGCTCCAGCCTGCTGGGGCCAGAAAGAGAGCTTCGCGTGGGCTCCTCAAGGCAATGCTTCAGCTCCCTTCCCCCTCATTTTGAGCCCGGGCTCAACTCCGGGAACCTAGTCCGAATGTCCGGGCTCAGCACTGGAACAAAATGACATAACAACGAAAGCGAACGTACCTCTAGCCATGTACAGAGTGTATCCCCCCCCCCCGCTCGTGGCGGAGTCAGCTTAGGCACCGCACTGCGGAGGGAGGGGGATGTTGGTGACAAAGCCTTCATCCCAGGAGCGCCCACGCGTGGTTTTCTCCTGGGTGGTGGGGAAGCTGATCTCTGCTGTTTCTGCCCCTCCTCCACCTACTCCGGAATGCAGACCGTCGTTCAAAACGGAATGATTCAATTGGAGGTCACTTGAGTAGGAAGCTGGTGTCATGTGTTTGTAAAGTGAGCTGTCGTTGCCAGCTGTCACCTGGAGAGAGAGGAAAAACTAGGTCTCCTCAGACCCCGGATACCAACCAGTGTGAGAAACTGTTCAATTTACAATTGGGAGCTTGCCATGGGTGTTTCCAAAATGTTTCTTTCATTACTTGCACTTTAAAAATTGTAAACTGTAACACACTTCTAGTAGCCATTCACTGAAACATTTTCACTTCCTCTCCTTGCCTGAGTGGAGTTCTCTGTGTATATAATTCAGCTGGTGCCACGATTTAGACTGCAAACCCAACTCCATTTACCTTGGACTAAGCCACATTGGATTCAGTAGGACTTACTTGTGCCTAAGGTGATACCAGCTATGGGCCATCATAGGCATGTTGCTGCATGGTATGCATTCTTTTCCTGTTCAGATGAAAAACTGGGTTTTCCCTTTCTCTGGGGATGGAGAGGGGAGAGACTGCTGTAATTAGACATAGAATCCTGAATGAATGAAGTTGCAATCTCATTTCCACATAAACAGGCCATTTGCTTTTGGAAGATCCAGTGAATATATTTTTCTCAATCTTGAGTTGTGACTGATCATCACATTTGAAGTGGGAAATTAACTAGACATACTCTTCTTCAATCTGCCAGCATATTCACTGATGACAGGGTGGAGAATTTGTTTCCCCCCAGCACCTAGGATCATTTGCTTTCTTGGTGCCAGTTTTGTGGATGCTGCCTTTAAATTGCACATGTTGATTAGGGAACGGGACACTGGTAAGTGAACACTCCTATCTTTAGGCAGGAGAAAGGTCTTATATTGTTTTGTACTCCCTTTTAAGTTAGGTTGAAGGATTGTCTGTTCCACTATGAAAGTGCTCATGTATTAAGATCTTTGTAAGAAAGGCTTTTCCACGTTCCACCAATATCTGAGGTGCATTTCTTGTGGGACAGGGCCTTCTCAGTGGCTGCACTCAGTCTCTGGAATTCCATCCTTAGACCCATCTAGACTTGTCTCTGATGCACTGTCACTGACTGACCTATTTTATTTTATTTTTATTTTTGGCAGGCCTTCAGATGAATGCATTTTTTGGTTTTTACCCTGCTACATTTTCATACAGTGCAAGTTTTTAGCTTTCAGCTGGCTGCTGGCTTTGATTCCTTTCATATTTATTCACTGGAGTTTCTATTGCATTTGTTATATTATGAGTTGTATCCAATGAAGCAGTCCCATTCTTGCAAGAACTTCAGCTTGTGCAATGGAACTTGCCCTCTTTCTGCATCCCCCAGACGTATCCTCTGGGTTTCCCCCCCAATCCTCAGGAGCAGATTGTGGGGTGGAGCATGGGAAGAAGAGGGGAAATTCTAATGCACAAGCAGAAGTCCTTGCAGGAACACAAAGATTTTGTTGGATGCAGCCCCTTCAAATTGTTAATGCTGTTAGCCATCTTGAGCATCATGTATGAAAAGGCAGGAGACAAAATATTATAAATGAATAAATATTGCTTTCTTTCCCTCTGTAGGACCTGAAGGATGTTGGAGCAACCATCATGGGCCAAGCCCTATGTATCTGCTCAAGGGGAACCATCACCATCAATAACAAACGTTACCTTTTAATCCATAGACTTGGGGAGGGGTGAGTATATGACAACTGAGGACTAAGTTTTCACACCTCTCATCTACACATTGACTACTATGTTAGCAAGAAATAAAGCTGGAAGGTACATCATCTAGGGTCCGTGTACTCCAGTGGTAGGGATTCTGTGGCACTCGAGATGCTGTTGGATTTCAGCTTCCATCATCTTTGACCATTGTCCATATTGGTTGTGACTGGAGGACACATATTCCCCACCCCACCCCATCTACCAAATCCACTGCAGAGGCAATATTCATCCTGTATAACTCGCCCCTCAAATATTTTATTAATGCTTTGGTGTAAGCTCCTTTGAACTTACCTCTAAGTAAATGTGCTTAGGATTAAGCAGCAAATATTTCTGCGGACAGCTACAACTACTCTGAACAACTTGTTCCGTTGCTTACCCATTCATTACAGTTGGAAAGTTTATTCCTGATATGTAACCAAAGTCTTCTTTGCTGCAATTTGAACCTGCTGGTCTTCCCTCAGTAGTCTTGGTAAACAGACATCCTCCCTCCTCTGTGCCATCCTTTAGATAACTAAAACACACTGAACTGCTAGGCCGTCAGACCAGCTCAGTGGTGTTGTTTTTTTCTGATGATTGCAAATGTCTGATGTTTCAGATGAAACTACAGGAGGCGTCAGGATATAGGGTGATCTATCCTCCAACCTTCATTCCCAATGGGTTAGGCACACTTTCAGTGTATGGTTGAAACCCTCATTGTTATTGATAAGCCTGTTAAATTGCTGTGTATTTTTGCACTGTTTGCCAGCTGTGATGATGGATAGAGAGGAGCACAAATACTTTCATGTGCCACAGCATGAAATTAATGCCTTATTCCTCAGTTGATCGTTGGAGAGGAAGAAGGTTGCATAATTTCCTCTTTTTAAAAATCTCCTATTCCGAGTTGTAACGGCACTACTTTGTTAGCTTAGAAGCGGGCAGGAGGAGAGGACTGTGTGTACAGACAGCAGGAGAGGAGGAGAAGAATCCTTTCTTTTCCCTACCAAGCTGCCTGCTCTGTTCCTGACATACCTTCTCCCCACACAGAGGTTTTAGCTACGTGGACCTAGTAGAGGGGCTGCATGATGGGCGCTTCTATGCACTGAAACGCATCATATGCCATGACAAGGATGATCGCCAGGAGGCCATGCATGAGGTAGAGATGCACCTTCTCTTTGAGCATCCCAACATCCTGACCCTGTGTGCACATGCCATGGTGGAGAGGGGATCCAAACACGAGGCCTGGCTCCTGTTGCCTTTCCTGAAGGTGAGTGTGGGTGTAAGGTGCAGGTGGATACAGCAGTGCATGCTGGGAAATGTAGTATTTGTGGCTACATCATGCAAGGCTGAGAGGTGTTGTATACTGGGACCATAGCTGCAGAGGTTGGTCTCTTCCAGCAGCCGCCTGGTTCCCACCAAGGATGGATACATGAGGCCATTTTCAGGATGGAGCCACTTGATGTAACCCTGCTTCTACACCAGTTGCAATCGGTCCCATAGCATTTATTTATAAAATTGTTTTCATCTTGCCCTTTGGACTCCCACCCCAGGTGGCCTGCAATCACAAGTTAAAAAAATAAACCAATAGAGGTTTCCCAGGGCACAGAATGGAAAGGGTGTCATCAGCATATAGATGGTACCCAGTCCCAAATCCTTGGATAATCTTTCCCAGTAGTTTTCATGTTGCTACTAGACAGCATAAGCGGCAAGTGGAACCCTGAGATTCATCTCCTTTTTGGCTGCCAGAGCCTCAGAGCGCATGTTATTCTCCTTGACTTCTACTGGACCAGATTCCAGAGCTGTCCTCTGTGGTAAAGGGCCTCCGTCTGCTTTTACAGACTCTGCTGCATCAGTTTGAAAGGATTTAGTAACCTGGCAGCACATGAGATTTTGTGGCAGCTGCCACAGTACTCAGGGGATCAGATAATCTGATCTGGTTTTTCTCTAGGCATCCCTTAATGGGACCCATGACAGCAACCTGTGAAGTCAGCTTGGAACCTTTGGCATCCACTCCTTTCCTAAATTCAACCCAGATCAGTAAGCTGAAAGCAAAGGTTGTCTTTATTGTAGTTTTACTCCGCTGTGCTGTGCTCAACTGTGCTCCTGCATTTCTGCTATGCTTGCATTTTGGCCCTGGCAGAGAGTTCTACAACAATAGTCACCTAAAAACAGCAGACCCCAGCAGAGTGATAGGGCAAGTTCAGAGCTGGAAGCATGGTGACCCATAGTCAAGCAGGAATAAGTGCCTCTTGGAATGGTTAGGCAATCAGGCTGGCTCCAAAGCCGCTGTCCCCAAAAGCTGTTTTTGCATCTTCTCGCTCATATTGGAGTGGGGATGGTGCCACCCTCTAGGAAATCACTTCCTTCAGCCCTGTGCAGGTGGAGGGTTTGTGCCTAATACATTAAATGCACTAATAGAGGATCTCTTCCTCGTCCGGTATTTTTTGAGGAGAATATGTGTGATCCCCATCACCAGCGTGCCTGGGCTTCTCTTTGCAGAGAGGGACCCTTTGGCAGGAAGTTGAAACTCTGAGAGATAAAGACGCCTTCATGCCAGAGGAGAGGATCCTGGCCATCCTTCACGGCATCTGCCGGGGCCTGCAGGCCATTCATAACAAGGGCTATGCACACAGGTGAGAAGCTGGGTCTAGAAAGCATGGGGCATTCTCACGTTGGAACAGAG